GCTGGGGTAATAGTAGTGCTTGCCACTACTGGGCTAATGTAGGAGGTAATAAATCTATACGGAAGAGTACTCAGCACAACACATTTTAGTAGTTGTTATTATGTAATCTCATTTTTCGTTGACCAAAAAGGAATCTGGACAAAGCTGAGCCACCCTGAGGCTAACCTCAGATCCCCGCTGGATTAGAAACACCAGTTCCTCTTCCCCTGGGGGAGGAAAAAAGAAAAACACTGAAAAACTTTTTTTTTATTTTAAAAAATTATTTATTTATTTATTTTTAGACAGAGGGGAAGGGAGGGAGACAGAGAGGGAGAGAAATATCAGTGTGTGGTTGCCTCTCACACAATCCCAACTGGGGACCCAGCCTGCAACCCAGGCATGTGCCTTGACTGGGAATTAAACCAGCGACTCTTTGGTTCTCAGGTTGGTGCACAGACCACTGAGCTGCACCAGCCAAGGCTGAAAAACAATTTAACTATTTGTTCAATTCTTTTGAAAATATTAAAGCAGATTTCTTTCATAATCTCAATAAAACTTCCCAGCATTCCTTTTCTTCTCTCTGTTTCCTTTTCTCCCCTTCCCCTCCCACCCTCCCCCAGCACCCCCACTCCCACATCTGGGTTCTCAGTCCCTCAAGGGCTCTCCCAAAGCTCAGCTGCACTGGCTCCTACTTCCTTGGCTCTGTTCCCCAGTCCCTCCTGTCTTTTCCCACCCAGTGACCTCTGCCCTTTCTCTCCTCGCTTGTTTTTTCCCTTCCCTCCAGCCATTGCCCAGATCCGCAGGACAAAGCCTGGCTGAAGCTGCCTGACCTGCAAAGTTTCCTTCCTCAGAGAAGGCAGGGAGGCTATAAACAGGTTAATCATGTTTTTCCTCTCACAAAACAGATACCCATCTGTTCATACAGCTACATGCAGAACCACATCCAGGAGTTAGCGGCGCTTAATATCTGAGCAGTGGGACTTTTTCCATTGCACTCATTCCTGGATTGCATCATTTTACAGTGAGCGTGTATTTATTACATTTGAAATCAGAAAACAGACCGATGTGTTTTATTTTACTTTTGAAATGAAGTATGGAAATCAGGGCAAAGGGAGACAATGGTAGGAAAAGTAGAGCAAAAGCAGGGATAAAGTGAGTATCCAAAATACATTCCATGGGTCCTGCACTTACATCATGTAAAGTGCCCACTATGGGGCCCGACACACACTGGGTAAACAGCAGTTATGGCTGCTCAGGGCTCGATGAACCTCGATTCCCCCACAGAAACTCAAAGGGCTCAGCTGAATCAGATTGGCGGGTTCAGTTCAAGAGGAAGGAGTCAGACTGAGACAAGTCGGTCCCCAGCCCCACCCCAGGCGACTTCTCTGCGGGGTTGGATGAGTCAAGAAATAGTCTATCTGGGTCTGACGAGCTCTGCCTGCCCCCTTCCCTTCCAGCCTCCTAACGGGCTCCTCCTGATGCCTTCCTGACCACGTCCTCTTAGACAGGCTGGTGTGAGTGTGCATGTGTCGGCTGCTCCTACAGAGTCTGGAGATCCCCCTGTGCGCTCTAGACTGTAGTTTCAGTTTAGTTTTGGAAGACAAAAAATTTAAAAATTAAATAGGTCTTATAACGCGTCTCATTCTGCCTGCATGCCTGCATGCCTGTGGGCCGCTCAGTTTGTCCAGACTCCATCTGACTTGGTACAGGGTGCCGGTCCAAAAAAAACGCATCAGTCAACCACTGAGGACTCTTTGGGCACCTACTGTATACCACACATTACCGAACACCTGTTCTGTGCAAGGGGATGACACAGGGAAAACAGACGAGGAATACCAGTAATAACTCTTGCCATTACTGAAGGCCCCTAAAATGTAAAAAGGCCTCTCCACAAATTCTGGTGGATCCTGAGGCTGGATTGGCTGGAAAACACAACCAGGCTTCAATGTCAGGGCCTCTGAGACCCGCACTCTCTGAGGCCTGGCCAGTCAGAGCCCTGGGTCACAGTGACTGAGGAACAGCTGCAGTGCTCAGTAAGAACCAGAGACTCAACTTGGGAAATGAGTGTTGCTGGAACTGTTGAGAAAAAGAGTCTCTATCTGGCAGCCCTGTTGAGAGACCAGGACGCACGGCTGGAGCTGCTGGCACCCTTATTGTGGTCCTGAGAGATCCTGCCAGAGGAGGAGGCCGGCGGAGAGGGAAACAGTCCTGAGAAACAAAGAGAGTGACACTGAATCCTGATGACATCATCTGAGCTCCTCAATGGAGCTGGGCCTAGCGCTAGCTCTCCCCCTGCGTTTTCCAGTTTAAGTTGCATTTCCCGCCATTTCGAGCCCAGGTGCTCCAACTGAGTCATTGCTGTGCCTCCCCCCAGCCCGCCCGCCCCAAAGGGAACTGAGTATTTGGAGGAAGCACCACGCACCTACCAATCTTTAGGAGCTGTTCTCCTGCCACACAACCGCCATGTCTGAGAGCACGAGTCCACAAATGGCAGCAGAAGCAGCGGGATGCCAGTGTATGGGCGAAGTCACCTCCCTTCTCCGAACATGAATTCTCACTTGCAATAGGGGGTGGGGTGAGAATCATAGTATCTACTACAGAGGATTGTTCCCAGAAGGCTGTGCGGAGGAGGTGAGCTATGAGGATCCCTAAGGCCTTGGGGGTTAGGGTCAGAGCTGGCAGCGAACCTTCTCACTTGTTTTCCCTGGGGCAGTTTAAGGCCAGGGACTGCCTCTGCTGGAGCGGACTGGTGGGGTGGAAAAGACTCAGCCAGAACATTGGGAGGCTTCGGTTCTAGTCCCGGGGCCCTTGCAAATTCCGGAGAGCACTTTGGGTAAGCTCCTCCCCCACTGACCGCACGCCCCTTTCCCAAGTGAGAAAGCCACGCCCCTCCCCTGTTTTCTTCCTCGAGGCCGGGTCACAGCTCATTCACTGCTGTATCCCCCCAATGCTCAGCCCAGTTCCTGCTTTGCTGAGAGCGTTCCACAATTACTCTATGTGAGTCAATAAAATGTGAAGATATGTGACCTTTCTTTTTTTTCTTTTTGGAGCATGTTGGACTAGAACATGTACAGAAAAACGCAGACAGGTTCTGAGGAGACTTCACAAAGTAAGCACACCCCTGTACCCGGCCCCTCCATCCTGGAACACCCAGAAGTCTCCTTGGGGCCCCCTTTTGAGTCATTTCCTCCAAAAAGGTAACACTAGCCTGGCTTCTGACAGCAAACATTAGTTTTGCTTAGTTTTGAACTTGATATATAAATGGATGGATGCTTAACGTTTTCCAGGGCTTTCAGGCTTACCAAGGGCCCACAGGAATACCAGTTCAAATCTTCAAGTCAGTGCAGGAAGGTGGGCAGGCATTACGGACCCCATTTTACAGAGGAGAAAACTGAGGCTCAGAGAATAGAATGTCTCACAGTCGCCTTGCTGGCAAATGGAGAGCAGGATAACTGGGTTCCATTCCCTTGTTTCCCTGGATCTCAGAATGTCCCTCCAGGCGTCACACTGAGATTCCCAGGAAGATATTTGAGGAATGGTCAAGAATCTGAAACCAGCCCAGGCCTGGGCAGGTGGTGTGAGTCACCAGCCCTCCGGAAGAGAGTGCACCTTCAGGGCACGGCCTGACGCTCTCCACCTTCCTTCCCTGTTTTGCACTCAACATGCTATGAGTTTTGACAGGTGAGCCTCCTCCCTGTGTCTTCTCCTCCGCAGTGAAGAGTTCGTGGTGCTGTTGAATGGAAGGGCGAAGAGTCATTTCCACAGAACCCCCTCCCCAGGTTGCTCTAGGTTGCCGCACACACTGCCCAGGAGCAGACGGTCCTTTCTGGCGCCCAGCACTGAGTGTCCAGGCCTCTCACCTGCTTCCCCAGAGTCACCCTGAGCCAGCTCCCTGGCTGGGGCTATTGATTGCCAGCCGCTCCTGCTCCCCTCCTGGCAGTAGGTGTCTTCTGCCCTACCTGCCCACCTCTGTCCCTGGCCAATTCAAAGCCCTTTACTCCCCCACCCCATGTCTGGTAAGCAAGATTCCAACCAAGTCTTTCCTTCTGGCCCATGAACTCCTACACATCCTTCAAGGCCCAAACCCCATCTTCCAAGATGCCTCTGCCTCTCTTGAACAATCTACTACAATCCTACACGTTAGTTTCTCTTTCTCAACACAGCACAAATACAGTTGACTGCAAAGTCACACAACTAAAGCACACACACTTTCATTACACACCATTTTCATCTCTCTTCCTTGCAAATGGGGCTGCACACACGGTGTATTGAATCGAAGCCTGGGCCTCATGTGTGCACATCTATACACGCACACACAACACCACACAGCCCCCAGGGTTTGGTCTCTACCTGTTTACAGCGGAGACAGAGTCTCTTCCTACTACACAAACATGCGTGTACAACGGGCTCCAAACGCACAGCTCACACATCATACAAATACATCTACACCCATTTTTTCTGTGCCTTCCTCCCTCACTCAAACGCATGCAGTTTCTCCCCTGCACATACAAACATACATGCAGAGAGCCATCGGTACTTCTCTCTGCTTCCCTCCCACCCCTTCTCTCAACCCTTTTCTCTCTCACACACACACACACACTCTCATACACGGAAGCACGCAATAACAAACCCCAAATATAGTCAGTCTCCGTCTTTCCGTCACATAAACACTCAGGCACGCGGGATCCATCCCTCCCCCGCTTTTGCTGTTTCTCCTCTCCTCTCCTTTCTCCTCCCCTCTTACACACACACACTCCACACAAACACACGCAGCTGCAGTGCCCGGGGTCACACTCCTGTGCAGGCGCCAGGCAAGAGACAAAGGTCGCCGAGGCTCCCGGTGCTGTGCACCCTGCACCGCCGAGCCGCTCCCCAGGCTCCGCCTTTCCCCGGCGCGGGTCTCGGCGAGGTGTGGACCCGCACCGGGCACCCGGCACCCGGAAGTCTGACACCCGGTAGGCTCCAGCGCTCCGGGGTCCGCAAGCCGGTGGGGCCACCGCCCGGTGCGCCAAGGGTTAAAGAGCCGGCGGCGGGAAGGGGGTGGAGGGGGGGGCCGGCCTCTGGGTGTGATTGGCTTCGCAGCCAGGGCCCCGCGCCCCGCTATTGGCCCCTGGCCGGGTCCGCCCCCCCTCCCGGAGACTGGGCGCCAGAGCCGCGCTCGTCCGCGGGGAGCGGAGCGCGCCGCCGCCGGGGCCAGCTAGCAGCGCAGTCGGGGTGCGCGACCGGAGCCGGAGGCCACACGGAGCGGAGCGCGCGCTATGGTGAGTGCTGCGATGGCCCAACCTCGACGGTGCCCGACAGCGACGCGGATGTGGGACCAGGGACCGGCCCGGTTCCCGGGGGCCTGGGCGCCGGCTGCAGCTCTGAGAAGGCGTGGAGTCTGGGGGCGCGCGGGCAGGGCTAGACTCTCCAGGCGGCGCCGCGCTCGGTTCCGTCGGGGGCGGCCGCTCCCAGCTTGGACCTGGCGGGACGTGGAGGGCTTGGGGTGACTGAATTGGTTGGGTTGCAGTTCTGGTCTGGGACGACTGGAAGCCCCTGGACCCGGCTAGGCTTGGAGACCTCGGTTATCCAGGTTGGGTCCGGAGCAGGGGTCGGGGACAATTTTGAAGAGGCTGGATCCAGTTGGACCTGAGTTTCTCGGGATTCCGGGTGGGTCTGGGGCTGAGGCTTAGCTTGGGACATCGTGGGTGGCCGAGCCAAATGCGTTCAGAGGGCTAGGTCGGGACCCTCTGGAACTACCGATCTTGCTAAGGCCGAAGGAGGTGGAGAGTGGAGGCTGGGCAGCCAGGTTCGTTGTCGGCAGAGACCAGGAGACTCTGGGGAACCCCTCTGGGGTGCCCAGCAATCTGGTCTCCCCAGCATCTCCCAGTGATAGGTCCTCGGAGGAGGAGATAGGCAATGGTATCAAGGAGAAGGGAGCTGGGGAGGGAGATTTGGGGGGTGGGGGGCGCGGTTCTGAAGCCCCAGGGAAGAAACCCATTTGGTCCAGGCTGGGCTTTGGGGGGCTGTTTTAGGGAGGGGCCTGTCCCTGGAAGGAAAGCCAAGACCTTCCAGTCACTTCTCTAGGGCCTGATGATTGGCTCTCCGTCATGGGGGCCAAGGCCACCTACCTACTTGTCTTTGGTTTCTTTCCCCCATGGGCAGGCCCCTCTGGTTCTCTCCGTGTCCTGTGGAGTGGGCACAAGTCCCCATGCAGGGCCCGAAGTGGTCACGTACCAGTGATGATGGCGGCTGCCAGACCTAGGGTTACAGCCACCACTGCTCTGTGGCATAGCTGCCAAGCCTGAGGGGGCCCAGGTGGGGGCACAGTGGGACCCCCTGCAAACTCGAAGAATCCACCAGTGACTCCTCAGGACCAACTTCTGCTCTGCCCAGAGCTGGGGTCCCCTCACAACACCCCTTTCCTCCTCTCCCACTAGTGTCCGCCTCCCCCTCCCCCTTGACTTGCCTCTGCAGAGTCAGTAATAATGAAATTATGGCTGGACTCCACACTCAAGGGTGCTTAGAGCTCATCTTGGATCCAGCCAACCTCCCCGGGCAGGAACCTCTCCCCGGGATTGCTCTGCTTGGGCCGTTTCGGTGGCAGAACACACTCCCTGCGGGCCGGCACTTGACTTCAGGCCTCAGAATACGGGCGATAAAAGCGGGTGAGACTTTGGGGTCATGTTGTCTACTCTGCCCCCAAGCCCAGCCTGACTTGTTGCTCAGAAAGAAAAGTTTTTCCTCCTTAACCCCCCCACCCAAAGGGAGGTCACCTTGCCTTGGTGACATTTTTCAGAGCCTTACAACCTCAGATTCCCCCCCACTCTCAGCCTGTCAGGAAGACCCCAAGCTTTGGCATCAAACAGATTTGGGTTCAAATTCCAGCTCCTCCACTTCCCCACAAGTTTTATCCTCACCTCTGAGTATCAGTTTCCTTATCGGTGAAATGAGGTGAGTCTCAGCTCCAGGGTTGGTGTGGGGATTTGGTGAGATAACCCAGGGAGAGTGCTTGGCTCAGATACAGCTTAGGTTTCTTTCTCGTACAGCCCTAAAGCTCCAGTTGAGAAGTTCTGCCTGACATCTAACCAATGTGTTAATCTGGAAAAAGGATTAAACTTTATCATGTAGTAGGGAGAAGAAGCAGACAGTGATACTAACAGAATTATTCATTTGTCCATCATTCAGCAAAGGTTTATGGAATATTTGATGGTACATGGTATGCTAAGCCCCATGTAGGGAGGAGAAAAACTGTCATAAACACCGTGTTCAGGAAGCTTCTTGCGGGCCGTGTCTGCACGGACGCTCAGGCGAGGGGACATATCTTTGGGGAATAAAGACATCATGCCAGGCCAAGGTCCCTCCTGGCTGGAGAGATGAGAGACTCAGGCTTTACCGAGCAGGTGACATCTGAATTGGAAAGGTCATCTAGGAAGGAAGACCCCTGCCAGCAGAGGACCAAAGAGGTGTGCAAGCACAGGAAATGTGCCTGGAAAGGCAGAATGGGGCTTACCTGGCATCTGGGCGTGAGAGCCAGGGAAGAGGAGAAAGTGGGAAGGGAAATTGCTGGGTCCAGAGAGTCCAAGGCTTAGGCTGGCTGAGGAGGCGGAGCTGCACTATGGATGGTGGACCCGCATGTGGGTGGGGTGCAGGCTGATGTCGTTTTGGTTTCCCTTAAACACTAGTCCTTGTGCTCATTCCTAAGGTGGGGGTGACTCAGGGCTGCTAACGTGTTTATTCCTCGGATCTGCTGTTCCATGGGGTTTAAACAAATCCAGCGTTCCCTCCTCTCCAGTGCGGCCAAGTTTCCCCTGGCCCCCGGGTTTTAACAGGATTCGGTTGGGGAGTGTGTGTGCTGTTTCCTGTTGTCCTGGCTGCATCTCCCTGATGGTCCCCAGCTCCCCACCCAGGTCTCTAACCCCTTGGCAGGTAGTCAACACTGTTCTTAAAGGCCTCAAGTGGAATCCCCACCCCTTGCCCGCCCAGTGCAGGCTTCTGAGCAGGCTTTTTCTTATCTGCTGTTTCCAGTTATCCTTGTGCCACTGAGCAGGCACAGAGAGGTGTAAGGAGATTGCCCAGGGTCACACAGCAAGATAGATAGTTCCAGAGCAGCCAGGATGTTTGGAGGGTTACCAGGAGACAGGTTGCAGGACACAACCCAGTGTGTCCAGTCTACTACTGTTGTGGCACCTTGAGAATGTTCCTTCACGTTCCACGCTGAGGACTGAGCTTAAAGCTGCATCTGAGGGGTGGGGATCATCTTTACTTTAAGAGGCTGAGTTGAGGACAGGGTCCAGCACCTGGGTTTGAACCCTGGATGGACCACCTGCTTCCTTTCCTACCAGGCGGGGCAGATGTGCTCCCTTCTCGGGAAGCCCGTGTGGTGCGGGGTTCCCAGAGCACAGGAGGACTCCTCCCTGGGCGGCCAGGTCGGTGCTGGTGACTGGGTTACTTACTTGTGTTTCCTTGCATTGCTACAACTTTTGGTCAACAGGCATGTTGTCAACTTTTGTTAAAGATAAACACATTGTTTCCCAGAAAGAACTGGAGAGGCCAGGCCTTACCAGGGAGGAACATGATTTGAGAGGCAAGAAGGCTACAGCGTGGGTCTGGCAGAAAGTTTCAGGCATTGGCCAAGATAACCAGCTTGGCTAAAGTCCACGCTTTGATGTCTGTAGTGAGGGAAGAACCATTAGCAACTGTTGACGGCTCGGCTTTTTGTGTTTTCTCTGAGTTGTTTCCCTTTCGGTTAATGAGGTGAGCACACCAGCGAGAGCTGAAGTGCTCCATCCATCCATCCCTCCATCCCTCCACCAAGCAGATTTGCCCGGCACCACACAAGGCTTTGGGGCTGCGGTCAGTGCGAGGGAGACGGGCAGGTCTGTGTCCCACAGTCTGGCAGATGGGCAACGTGGAGCAGGAAATGACAAGTGCGGTTGCCGTTACCAAGGAGACGTGCAGGGTGCTGTGGAGCAGATAGGGAAGCCTGGCCTGGGGAGCAGAAGAGGCTCCCTGAGGACATGGCATTGAGGCTGTGGCCTAGAGAATGAATGGGACCTGGAGAGCATTCCAGGGGGAAGCAGCAGTTAGGTGCAAGATGAGACAGAACAGGGTGCATTCGAGAATGAACTCATCTGGAGGCCCCGGAGACAATGCTTGGGAGGGGGCCGGGGGGCCGGCACAGGCAGGGGGCATCGTCTTAAAGATTTGGGGCCCCAGCCCTGACAGGTATGGTTGGCCCTGTGGGTTGGGCATCGGTCTGCAAAGCTAAAGGTCCAGCAGTGAGGGTGGAGGCCGGGGCTGCGAATTCTGTCTCCCATCTGGGAGCGTATAAGGGGCAACTGATGGATGTTTCCCTCTCACATGGATGTTTTTTATCTCCCTCTCTTCCCCTCTCTCTAAAAATAAATAAATAAATAAATTCCTAAAAAAAAAAAAAAGATTGGGGCTTCATCCCAAGGGCTGTGGAGAGCCTCTCATACTCAGAGGGAAGGGTGATACACAGCAGATGTGCATTTTGAGATGGTCACCCAGGCTGCTTTGTGGAGAATGGAGGCGGGGCTGGGCGGGGCAGGGAGGGTGGGATGCTGGAGGCTGGGCAGCCAGCTAGGAGGCCGCTGGAGTGGCCCTGGGAGGGAGAGACGACTGTGGCCTGTCCTCTTTCGTCACAGTCCTCTCCGCCCCACACCACAGCCCCATCCCTCTGCCCAACATGGACAGTGAAGAGGGGAGGCCCTGTTCCCAGAGGCTCCGCAAAACCCCTTTCCCCGTGGGCATGGGCCTTCTTCCCTGCGCCCTTTCACACCGACAACCAGCAGGGCTCCGGGCCCCACGGAACTCCAGCCTATTCAAGAAGAAAAGCCAAGTTCCCAAATGCCTCCGAACAAGGCAGAAAATGCTAAGTGCCCCCATGAGGATGCCGCTCCAGAGTCACCCTGGCCATGGGTGTGTATCAGGGAAGACTTCCCAGAAGAGATGGCATTTGAGCGTCAGTTGGTGGAATGGAATGTTTCCTCCTAGGAGCCAGGCTCTGGAGAGGTTAAAATAAAGAGACGTTCTCCTGTCCTCTGAAGAGTTACCGTCTGTGGGACAAAGTTGAATGAACAAGCAGTGCTAGTTGAACCCACCGTCTGGGGCCTGGAGGGTCTCTGTCCTTTCCTGACCCCCTGAGGGCAGGGATGGCTGGAACATCTTGGCCTGTCTTGGCTCGCTGAGCACTCCTGGGGCTTCTGAGGGGCCACATTTCTGGAGAATATTCCTGAAATTGTCTGAGGGAGTGCCT